GACTAAATGCCTTGGGCCTGCCCATCCTGCAGAGTGACAAGAGACCCCAGCTCCTGTTCCCTTTAAGGGGGTTGTGCCACCCTCCAGCCCCCAAAGTTCCCTGACACCGTTTCCCACATCTGCCCTGAGTATGGACAGTTTCCTCTGTGAAGATCTCTCATTCCTCCTGGCAAATGGCATCAATCCCTGCCTTCCTTCTTCTAAGACAATGATGTGAGTGCTGCTCTGACCCCCTAAACTCAGCAGGAGTTATCTTTGGCCCCCCACTCAAAACAGAGTTGGGCATACAGTAGGTGCCCTGAAACTGCTAGTTAATACAAGATGTGAGTGCCTCTGGGAAACTGTAGGCTCCTACCCTGCACTTGAGCCCCTCAGGCACAGGAACCCTCAGGCAGGGGAGGGGAAGGAAGGGTGTGCAGCAGAGTCCACATCTATTGCACTTTGCTTGGTCAGTTTCAGTTTGGTTTTTCACTACTTGAGCACCTACTGTGTGTAGGTGGACAGACCAGACACCTCTCAAAGGCAGAAGGTTGGCCCCAGATATCTCCATATTGCCAGAGCCTAGCATAGAGCCTGGTACATGGCTGCCCTCTCGTTCTCTAAAGGGAGAGTCTGGCAGCCTCCATGGAGGCTGGGAGCCACTGAGAAGGGAACTCACCAGCTGCTGCTGCCAGAGCCAGAGCCTCCCAGCTGGGAGCCCACCTGAGTATGGAATCCCTGGCTAAAATTGGAAGGTGCCAGGATCAAAGGCTTGGGCCAGAATGAGGAGATGCCAGGCAAAGTTCCCTCCTCACCCCCTTTTTCCCACCAAGAAGGCTGCTGTCCAGTGACTGGGGGTGTCGTGCCAAGGGAACCTCAAATACCTCCTTTATGACCCCTTGGGCAGTCTCCAGACTATGAGGTGCTCCTGCTCTATTTCAGCCCAGCCTCTAGCTTAGACCACACCAAGCCTGGACTTGTCCAGATCCCCAGCTGGTCTGAAGGTCCCTGAGGGCAAGACCTGGCTTGTATCTCTGTCCCTCCTAGGCTTGCCCAGGCTTGAGCCCCAGATCTGACCTGGTGAGGGGTCAGGCCACATGGGCTATAACAGCAGCCACAGTGGAAACAATGGGAGTCATATTAGGAGACTACTGAGCTCTCACCCCTGCCTGGGTCTCCACGCTCCCCTCCAGCCAGACCCAGGGGTCTGGTTTAGGTGGGGCCCCGTGCCTCTTGGCTAGGTGATCAGTGTATTTTAAGGCCTGCCCTTGTCACACATGGATGTTGAATCATAGAAGGATGAAAGCTCCAAAAGTTGTGTCATAGGCTGTTCCTTTGAAGGATATTATCATCAGAAACTTAGGGACTCAGTAGTTTCCATCAGTGAGTGTTGGCATAATGGTTTTTTGAACTATAGGCATAATAGGGGGACCTTACAGGTTGCCAGTTAACTCCTCCTGTAGCCCTTCCCCAATCAAGGGGCCTGTGGACTTGGGAGCTTTCCCCCCAGGCTGGGTCTTATCTGGCTCCTGCAGGATTCCCTGGGGCCCAATAGCTACCAGTCATGGGGGCTCAATAACCACAGCTGATGTGAAGGGCAAGTGAGGACATCCCATCAGCAGACACTTATCTGTAACCCCCAAAACAGTAGAAACAGCTTAAGGATGTGGATGGGGCCAGCTGGCCAGGATCAGGCACTTACTTGGTGAGTGACCTTGGGTGGGACAGTTTACCTCTTTGAGCCTCAGTGTCCTCAGCAAAATGGAAATAATAGTACCTACCTTATGGGGTGTTAGGATTAAATGAGCTAATATATATGTGTATATATATGTGTGTGTGTGTGTGTGTGTATAATGCTTAGAAAACTGCCTGGCAGTTTCTAGTTATTATTAACCAGCCTGCTGAAAGTCAGGAAAGGAAAAACAAACAAAAAACAAAACAAAAAAGGTCAGGAATGGAAAGACCTTTTACCCCCATTCCTGCCTCAGGTACCCCTGAATATGTCTAGTAGCCTCACGGCAATGGCATTTGTCATCATGTGATTTAGCACCTCCTCCAGTGTCCCCATCTTACAGGTGAGTAGCAGAGGCTCCTGACCCAAGGCTCCTACTTGGGCAAATGGTACAGGCCAAGTTAGCAGATATGACAGTTTCTGAAGCCTACGCTTGCTGTCCTGCTGTGCCAGATGGCACTAGTGGAGAACTCCATAACTGCTGGCCCTTCCTCCACCTTAACCCCTGGGCCACTTGCAGCCACAGTACAGATTTGTCTGCAAAAGCCTGTGACAGCCTTGGTAGCATTTGCTGGTGAAGCTTGAGCAGGATGTGGGCAGGGAGGTGGTGGTGGCAGGGGTCAGCCATGGAGCCGCAGGAGCAAAAACATCCCATTTTAGACACTTTTGACAAATTGCTTGTTTGTGGCCATATCATATACCACTGCCCTCCAAAGTGGAGACTTCCGCCCAGGGCAGCTGGGTGCACGGTGTGACCTCTGGGGCTCTAAAAACTCCCTTGCCCTCCTCCCTGAGACAAAAGGACTTTTCAGGAAACCCTGCAGTGGGGCAGAGGCCCAGACTTCACCATAATCCTGATAGTCCTGGGGCAGTGTCTTGAACCCCAGGTCCAAAGGACAGCAGTCTGACAGAGGGCTGGGGGTTTGAGGTCAGGAGGGTGATGTGCTGTCACAGCAGACACCTCTTGTCACACTGGTGGTGCAGACCCAGCTCCTAATGTGGCTGCCCTGAGCCGCCTCCCTTCTTATTCTCATAGGGCAGTTGAGAGGGTTGAGTGGAGGCTGTGGGGATAAGGTCTAGCATAGAGCCTGGCCTAGCACTGGCTCCTCTTACCTGCCTTGCTGGGACTGTGTCCTGGTCGAGAGGCTCTAAGAGAGCGGAAGTAGGGGGCATCAAGAGAGCAAGCAGGAGCCTCTCCGTTTCTCATGGCCACTATGAGATGAGCAGTGTGCTGCAGTTGCTAAAAACCAAAATTACTGTTGCCTCTGACCAAATGAATAGAAATGCAGGTGTGGCTTCATAGTCTGGGAAGTCCAGCTGCTCTTGTCATGGTGGCGGAGGCTACTTTTCAAAAGCCAGAGGACACACCTTCCCAGTGCACCCCACCCCAGCTCCTGAGAACTTCAGAGGCTGTGTGATTCCTGTGCAGTAGTCTGACCTTTGTCTGCATCAACACACAGCATCTGGGGAATGACCTCTCCAGGTAGCAGAGGCCAAGGGTTGCCGTCTCTAGTTAGACATCCCCTGCCCCCCGATTCTCAGACAGATGCAGGGCTCCTGTGGTGCCTCATGACCTAGCTCTCAGGGTACCACACTGAGCTCTTGGCTTACAAGTCCCCAGAAGCCTGTGAGCTCTAGGGACAGGGTTGTGCCCAGCATTGCCCTGGGTGGGCTAGGAACAAGTGTTCCTGCAGTATTCTGGAACATACTCCAAAGATGACAGCCTGGACCCTTCTGCCTAAGGAGTCCTCAGAGAGGCCTAGAACTTACTGGGTCCCTCTCACTTTGTCAAACAAGGAGCCCAAAGCCAGAAAGGGAAGCAACTTGCTCAAACAGCAAGCTAGTGACCCACTCCTAGACTTCTGACTCCCAGTCTCATGTGTTCCCCTCTTCAATGGCCACTAATGAGACTATGCTTAAGGTAAGATCTCAGCACCCTTGGCAGACATGGCAGGCAATATGGTTTCATATCATTTAGAAAGACCTTCCAACTGGAAAGTCTTTGGGAGATATGACAAGTGTTAAGGCAAGAGTCCTGTGGGGGAGGGGAACAGGAACAGGCCACAGGGCTGGGAAGATAGGGTGTCTGAGAAACCTGAAGGCCAGGCCCTGTCTGGAGGGCTGTGCTATCTGACAGGAGGCTCTTGTGCCCTTGGCCTGCACTTCCAATGTGGGCCTGGCACAGGGGCCCCTCATTTGCTGATAGATGTTAAAGGCCGGGGAGTTGGGGAGGCTGGCTAGCATGTCTCAGCAGTACCTATGGAAAGGAGTTCAGTAGCCAAGTAAAGATTAAGTAACACTAGATTAGACAAAGTGAAAATGTTTTCTTAAATGTGGGACTTCCCAGGGTCTTTTTTTGTAGAGACAGAGTCTCACTTTATCACCCTCAGTAGAGTGCCGTGGCATCACAGCTCACAGCAACCTCTAACTTCTGGGCTTAGGCAATTCCCTTGCCTCAGCCTCCCAAGTAGCTGGGACTACAGGGGCCCACCACAATGCTTGGCTTTTTGTTGCAGTTTGGCTGGGTCTGGGTTTGAACCCACCACCCTTGGTATATGGGGCCAGCACCCTACCCACTGAACCACAGGCCCCACCCATTCCCAGGGTCTTTAATGAACTCATCTGCTTGGGAGAAGAAATGGCGAAAGCCTTCCCTCAACTCATCAGAGCAGGTGTTGTGCTGACCGTCCACACATGGTGGCCCATACCCCAGACCGACTCCCCCTTACTCTGCTTTGCCCTGTGCTGGTGGGCCCACCAGCTGGGTGGCCGCAGCAACGCCCAGAGCCTGGACCCCAGTACCTAATTATAGAAGATCCTGATAACATGAGGAGAGAGTGAGCTGCAGCTGGGAGTGGCGGGGGCCCAGCTGAAGGAACCTGGGCCTATTCTGAAATGAGCTACAATTGGTGCCCTGCTTCTTGGGAGCAGCCCTTGGGGAAAGGAAGAAGTTGGGCACAGATGTCCAGGGTAGTGCAGCATCAGGGTTGTGTTTTGAGGGCTGAGCACATCAAGAGGAAGTTGCGAGCAGCCAGGGGCCTCCCTGTCAGTGTCGGCAGCAGCTGGGGCTCCCTGGTGGCCGCTCACTTCCAACTGGGATGGCTCTGGTCCGCCACAGGCCCCTGAGCAGGGCCTCTTCCAGTACAGTGCCCAGGGGTGGTGGGGAGAGTGGTCATGACCTGACCTCCAGAGCTGGAAGCAGAGAGGTGTACAGGGCAGCCCCAGGGTCTCCCAACTCCTAGACCCCTTCTGTTTCCCTCCACCTCAGAAGGGCCATGAGAGCAGATGGTCCAGGAAAAAGGATGTTTTATTTTCATAAATACTCCTGCTCTCTACTCACACACTGACTCCACTTCTGACCCAGGACAGATGGATAGACAGACGTGAGATGCTCACAGGAGGCCTCAGAGAAGGCCAATGAGTGAAGGAGACAGACTGAGAACTCTAGGAGCCCTGCAGAGCCCCCACAGGAGCCACTCACCTCTGGCATCACCCTCAGGCCCCCAAGGCCTCTCAAGAGGGCCGAACAACAAGTGGTGACCTCCCCCAGGAGTGGGACCAGGTGGGGCTCCCCCAGCTTGCCTCCCCAAGACTATGACCACAGGGTCACTCCAAAAGAAAAGCAGAGAGTCAAATCACACACCAGAGAGTGCAAACAGTTAGGGGTATAGGTGTCATCTCCCCAGTCATGGGGTTCCAATGGAGGAGGCCTGAGCTGGTCTCCAGCTCCAGCATGGCCCCCGAGTTATGGCTGGGCCTTCCCATAAGGCATAAAAGACAGGCGGGGAAGACCCCACCCCAGGCTGGGGTCGGGGCCAGGCCTGAGATTCTGGCCCTTCCGACAGCTACGCTTCTTCCCCACGACCCCAAGTTTTTTCAGGGCCATACAGTCCCTGGACACTCTGGGCTCCTGCTGATGATGGAAACCCCAGTAGTGCAAATCCGGGTCCAGCCTTCTGCTGGGTTTGGCTCAGCAGAAGACAGGGCAAAGCAGGAGGGCCATGGGGGTGAGGGGAGAAGCACCAGGTCTGGGGTAAATGGCCATGGGGGGCAAAGGATGTCCTTGGCCACCATAGCCTCTGGCCCAGGCTGGATTGTGTCTAGTCCCTCTGCTCCCATCTCTCCCCAGCCCTTCTGCTCTAGAGGCTCCCCCAGGTTTCAGGTGGGGGGAACTGGTCCACATCCCCCATCTCATTGTAGGTCTGGTCGCCCATGGTGAAGGTGAGCTTGTAGCGGAGGCGAACTTTCTCCTGGGGCAGAGACAGTGAAGGCAGAGGGGTCAGAGCAGGAGAGGATGTACCCCCAGTACCACCCTACCACAGCTAGACCACTCACCTTATGGGGATTGGCAAGAAGCAAGACCTGGGTGATAGCAGAGGGGTGGACAATAGGGTTAAATGCTGGCAGCTCCGTGCCTGAGGGTGGCTGTAGCTTCACTTTCATGACCTGTAGACAGTGGGGCAGGAGGGGTACAGCTAGCCCTTCCCCCACTCCCAAGCAACCAGACCCCGTCTGCCTGCTCCCCTCCAGGGGTCCTCGGGCTCTGTTCTAGGGGTCCCTCCTACCCCCAAAGCCCAGCAAAGACCCTGCCAGCTGGTTCCTCACCAAGCCCAAATCACCCTGCCTTGAGATGAGGGAGGCCTGCCCTGTTCACGCTGTCTGGGTCACCTTGGGGACAGCTGACTGGAAAATGATGTTGCGGATGGGCTGGGGGGCAGTGCTCAGCATGGAAACCACCACCACCAGTACGTCGGAGCGCCCCGGCAGCGGGTCACGGGCAAAGTGGAAGAGGACTCTGAAGCCATGCTGGTCATACACGGTCACAGGCAAGATGCTGCCTGTGGGAAGAAGGGTGGAGAGTGATGAGGCAGCTGCAGCCACACGTACCCATCCAGCTCCCACAGCTGGTGCTGGCTGCTCTGCTAGAAATGAGCAAACAAAGCCCTCATCCTGGGCCTTGCCTTGACTCTGGGCAGCAGGGCAGTCAGGGATACAGACCAGTGCCTGGGAAGAACAGGTGAACCTCCAATCTGATGGGAGAAGCAGCATACCCAACCTGGAGCAGAGTTATACCTAGGTTGCCCCAGTGTGGCTGCTTCCTGGAGTCCTGGAGTGAAGGGCTGTGGGTGAGGTTGTGCTCTTGCTATGTGACCATGCTATAGTCATTCCCCCTCTCTGAACTTGAGTCCTCCTCCTGATAAGGGAGGGGGTGCCTCTTCTCACCTCCCAGGAAACTGAGAGTGTAATGTCTTTGGTTATGGGGTGGGGGGCGGCACAGAACTTTCACTGTCCACAGAGAAGGACAATGTCAAGAAGCTAGCAGTACTCACTTGTCTGTTCAGGGACAGTGTAAGAAAGTGGTCCCCTACTGCTCCTGGGCAGGAAAAGGCCCAGCCTTGGACCTGGGTCCTTTATCATGGCTTAGATTTATATTCTTGAGGAGACCCCAAACCCTCTGTGTCCTGGCCCTTGTCTTTCCGGGGAGGTGAGGTGGATCCAGGGCTAAGAAGGCATCTTGCCTGTGTAACCCTAGAGTTTGTAAAGCGGTCTTTGGATCACTCTAGGGGAGATGAAGAAACTGAGTCCCAGAAGGGAACAACTTTGCTCAGAGTTCTCCAGGGAGGTAGCTAGTGCAGGGCCAGGAGAGCCCTGCTGTCCCATCTCTCTTCCCAGATGGAGCCCCTGTACCTGCATGCAGCCCTACTCACTGGGCTTGATGGACTCCAGGGGCACAGTGATGTTGGCCAGAGAGAGCTCTGTTGGTGCAGGCTGCTGTGGAGGCCCAGGAGGTTCTGGGGACATGGTGTGGAGCAGGCTGGTGGCACTGGAGCTGGGGGAGCTGCAGCTGCTGCTCTTATTCTGTAGGTCCCGGAGTGTGAGCCGGGGGGCTGGCTGCTGCTTCTCCCTTATTGGGGGACAGTGTATTAAGAAGTGATTCTTTGGGCCGGGCATGGTGGCTCATGCTTGTGATTCCAGCACACTGGGAGGTCAAGGCAGGTGGACTGCATGAGCTCAGGAGTTCAAGGGCAACCTGAGCAAGAGTGAGACCCCGTCTCTAAAAGATGAGCCAGGGTTTGTGGTGGGCGCCTGTAGTCCCAGCTACCTGGGAGGCTGGGGCAAGAGGATCACTTGAGCCCAAGAGTTTGAGGTTGCCATGAGCTATGATCACACAGCACTTACAAGGGTGACAAAGTAACACTGTCTCCAAAGGAAAAAAAAAGTGATTCTTTGGCTAGGTGTGGTTGCTCATGTCTATAATTGTAGCACTCTAGGAGGCCCTGCAGGTACAATGCTTGAGCTCAGAGGAGTTAGAGACCAGCCAGAGCAAGAGTGGGACCTTGTCTGCTAAAAATAGAAAAACTATAAGGCATTGTGGTGGGCACCTATAATCCCAGCTATTTGAGAGGCTGAGGCAAGAAGACCATCTGAACCCAGGAGTTTGAGGTTGCTATGAGCTATGATGCTATAGCACTCTACTGAGGGTGACAGAGTAAGACTCTGGCTCAAAAAAAAAAAAAAAAAGTGGGCTCAGTGCCTGTAGCTTAGTGACTAGGTCACCAGCCACACACACTGGAGCTGGAGAGTTCAAACCCGGTTCAGGCCTGCCAAACAACTGTAACAACTGTAACAACAACAACAAAAAATAGGCCCCACGCCCGTAGCACAGTGGTTGCGACGCTAGCCACATACACTGAAGTTGGCAGGTTTGAACCTGGCCTGGGCCAGCAAACCAACGATGACAACTGCAATAAAAAATAGCCAAGTGTTGTGGGAGGCGCCTGTCGTCCCAGCTACTTGGGAGGCTGAGGCAAGAGAATCGCTTGAGCCCAAGAGTTTGAGGATGCTGTGAGCTGTGATGCCACAGCACTCAACTGAGGGTGACAAAGTGAAAGACTGTCTCAAAAGGAAAAAAAGATAGCCGGGCATTGTGGTGGGCACCTATAGTCCCAGTTACTTGGGAGGCTGAGGCAAGAGGATCGCTTAAACTCAAGAGTTGGAGGTTGCTGTGAACTGTGACACCACAGCACTCTATCAAGGGTGACATAGTAAGACTCTGTCTCAAAAAAAAAAAGTGATTCTTTGGTGGCCAAACCATCAAGGGCACAGGAGAGACTGAGCTTCCCAGCTCTGTCCCTGATACATGGCTGTCTCTGTGGCTTGGGGTCTCCTTGCCTTTTAGGACACCCCTACCCAACTTGCCCCTCAGTTCTGTCACCCCAATTGCTGGCCCTATAGGTCTTTGGCCTATCTTTCGAGGCTGGAATGCCTTGGGGTGGCCGTGTAACTAGGCACAGGTCCACTTTCTCTCCCAAACTCTGTGCTCTGAGATAGGCACTGAGCCTGCCTTGATCATGCTGTGTTCCCAGAGGCGAGTGTTCAGCACCTGCTGCTCCTGGAACAAACCAGTGATGAGCCTCTCTGCTGGGCCTGGGCCAGGACACGCCCAGAAGCTGCTGGTTTGTGGGAACAGGGAGTGCTCCCCACCCCCCCTTAGCAGCCAGGACGCCCTCACCACCGCACTTGCTGGGACTCCGGGGGCAATGACTGCTGCAGGAGTGTCTTCCCCAAGAGGTCCAAGTCATCCAGACCACTGCTGGCTGGCAGGGATGTCTGTGCTGGGGGCCGGCTGTCCATGCTGGGGGCCTGGGCTGGAGCAGGGGCTGGGAGCTCTGCAGTACTCGATGACTACAATAAGCAAAAGACGCTGGTGGGTGAAGCTGTCTTAAAGTGTCAGGGTTACCAGGCCCTGCCCTGAGGCTCCCATGTAGGTGACATCTGGGAAAAAGTTCCAGAGAGATGGGACCCCATCCCTATCTATGATGCAGGATGGCTGGGCCTGGTTGGAGGCTCTACCTTCCAAGGACTTAAAAGTCACCCTGAAAGGAAAGAAGGAGGGGACACCCATCCTAACCCCAAAGGCTAGGCTGTAGCCCTGAAGCTGAGACTTGAGGGAGACGCAGCTGGAGGTGAAGAAAGAATTGGCTGCTTCCCTCTACCTTGGGGTGTGTGCCTCCATCCCCTGGGCTACTCCTCCCCCAGGGCCCTCCAGCACAGAGCCCAGATGTCCCTCTATTGTTCCTCTCAGGCTGCTTGTCCCACTTGCCCTGCCCTGGGATTGGCACAGGACAGGCTAGTTCCTAGTCCCCTCCTACCTGGAAGCTGTTCCATCCAGTACCATCCAAACTCTGGCCTGAAGAGGGTGTGGGGTCGCTGAGGCCTGAGGGAAAGCAGGACAGAGGTGAAAGGACTGGGCTGACCCACAGAGGCCAGAGAGCTGAGGGGTAGTGTGTGCTGGCTTGGGGCTCCCCAGCTCCCTCCCCATTTCCTGGGAGGCTTAGCTCAGAGGGGAGAAATCCACACTTCCAGAGGGAACCAGTAGCACAACAGAACTAGAAACCAAAGGTCCTGCCTGCCCTGCACTCGCTTCCCCTATTCCTGGCAAGGACACCCAGAAGCCAATATGACGACTGACATTAGGACTTTAGTTTTCACTCATCAGCGGGCATGGAACAGAGCCAGAGCTGGGATGCTGGGGAGAGGATCCAGGTGAGCAGGAAGCAGCACTGTGCCGGCCTCATGACCAACTCTGAGTAACCCTGGGCAAGGCACTGCACTGAGCCAGTGTTCCCATGCATATGACATCCTGGCCTGGGGCAGGCTTTGAAGGCCCTGTTAGCCCCGGCATGTGCCAAGCAGCCTGGTAGACTGGTGCTAAGGAGGGCAGGGGGCCTTAGGATGGCCTATAAACCGGCCTGCTGATCGGGAGGCAGCAGGTCACTAGCCAGCCTGACCTCTGGCTGCCCTGGAATGTTCCTAGCCAAGTTCACCCCAGATTTGACCTAGAAAGACAAGTTATCCTGGTTCTAGCAAATCCTGAATAACTGTGGTCCAAATTGAAGTGCTATGTGACAGGTAAGGATGCCAGGAAGCTGTGACAGGTGGGCCCCTCTTCTAGAAGTATCTCTTTGAGAAAAGAGATAACAATGTGGTAACTGCTAACATTTATGTGTGCTCGATGTGTCAAGCCCTTCAGATGCTGGTCTTGCTTAATCCTCAAACAATCTTAAGAGACAGGGGTGAGGTCTCAGTCTTCTTATTAGGGACAAAGAAATGGATGCTCAGAGGGGTTAAGTGACCTGCCCAAGGTTGCACAGCTGTAAAGGAGCAGAGTCCAGACTTAGGCAAAACACGGCTTGATTGCCAGAGTTTGGAAACAGCTCTGCCACAGCTCTGCGCCCTTGCACTGGTGACTCAGCCTGATCTGTAGAATGGAGACAATAGCACGAACTTCATTAGAGAATTGTGATAAATTAGATGCATCAGAAGTGCCTGAACAGTGCCAGGAACACCCTCTTTGACAGGATCCCTGTCCCTACCCCTCATGCTTCCTGCCATGAAGAACAGTAGGACAAGTCCCTCTGTGGCTCCAGGCTTCCCTCCCCCCAGAGCTGGCTGCAGGCTACCCTGGCGCCTCTGCTTCCGATGCCCACAGTCTTTGCCTTTGAGATGAAACCAGAAGGGAGCTAGAGGCTCAGGGTTCTGGGACAGGAAGTACAGAGCACACCTTGCTTGTCATGTGCTGGGCCAGTGGTCCTGCCATTATTTCCCTATGCAGCTGCCTCGACAGGTAGATGTCTAGTGCTTGCCCTATGGGGGAAGACTTGAGTGAGCTTTCCTGTCACTAGACCATCCTTTATCTCTCTATAGAACAGGGCATAGGGTCTCTTCTCCCTAGTCACCCTTTGGCTCTCAATGAAGAGGGACAGCTGAGTGCAACTCCTAAGTCAGCCTCTTTGGTAGGGTGCTGGCTCATGGATCCACAAAGGGAGCTTACAACCTGGCCTATCTTCCCCCCTTCATCTCTCCCTCCAAGTCCTCACTTTCCTCTTCTTGCTTATGGACAATGTGTCAGAGCAGCAGAGGGGCTCAGAGTGTGGCTTCAGAGCCAAAGTACCTAGTAAAGATCCTGAAGCCCTTTTTGTACAAGTTTCCCAGCCTTTCTAAGCCTCAATTTCCTCATCTATAAAGTGGGGCTATTCATGGCTGTGAGGACTGCTACAAGAAACAGCATAGCAGCAAGTACTGTGTGGGCACTCCTTAAATGCCCATTGGTCTGGGTAGACCTTGCCTGGGACCCCCAGAACCCTCAGAGCTTCTTCAAGGCCATCAGGTGTGGTTTTTACTTCAGGCTGGCTCAGGAGAACACGGTCTGACTCTTGGCTTCCAAATTATGGCACCTCAACATGCCCTACAAGATTCTGTGACAGGGCCCTAACGCCCCTATGTTTTCTTTTTTTTGCTTATTTTTTTGAGACAGAGCCTCAAGCTGTCCCCCTGGGTAGGGTGCTGTGGCATCACAGCTCACAACAACCTCCAACTCCTGGGCTCAAGCGAGTCTCCTGCCTCAGCCTCCCAAGTAGCTGGGACCACAGGTGCCCACCACAATGCCCGGCTATTTTTTGGTTGCAGCCATCATTGTTGTTTGGCGGGCCTGGGCTGGATTCAAACCCACTATCTTAGGTGTATGTGGCTGGCACCTTAGCCACTTGAGCCACAGGCGCCGAGCCACACCCCTATGTTTTCATCCCTTCAGCAGCCATTATGAGGAGTCCATTACATGTGTTACCTTCTTCTGGATCTAAAGTCTCTGATAGGCCAATGTATTCGAGACTGAAACCTGAAAACACTTTGGGCAGCTGGGAGTGCTTTGCTTCTTCCTAGGGGTGAGCATTGGTCCCCTGCTGGGTTCTAGAGCCTTGGCCTGGCCAAGGACCAGCTAGGGTCACACAGTCCCTTGTGCTCTGACCTTGGTTTCTTTGGAACTTCTGGGTGCCATGTAGCCCAGAGTGCTCCCTCTTTTCCTCTCAGAGAGTGAAAAAATTACTCAACTTTTTTTTCTCAGACAGAGTCTCACTATGTCACCCTGGGTAGAGTGCCATGGCATTACAGCTCATAACAACCTCAAACTCTTAGGCTGAAGTAATTCTCTTGCTTTAGCTTCCCAAGTATCTGGGACTACAGGTGCCCGCCACAACGCCTGGCTTTTTTGTTGTTGTTGCAGTTGTCATTGTTGTTTAGCAGGCCCGGACTGGGTTCGAACACACCAGCCTCGGTATATGTGGCTCGCACCCTGCCCACTAAGCTACAGGTGCCGCCCACCAAAGGCTGTTTTAAAGGCTGGCCAGTCTCACCCTTTGACTAAGTGACCTTGCACAAACTCTGACTCCCTTAAGCCTCAGCTTCCTCTGCTGTGGAAAGGTCATAATGCCCATCCCATGTCCTTCACAGGATCCACCTTGGGAGCACATGATATGGGTGCTAGGTGTATAAGCTGCCAGGTGCTACTGAGCACACCCTCCTCTGGGCCTGGCCCCTTCCTCACCCAGAGACATGAGCTCGTCGTCAAGCAGGGAAACTGAGGCACTGGGTTGCTCGGGGCTTGCCTGCTCGCCAGGGTGGGAGGCCATGGCTGGGTAGGTGGTGCCAACAGGAGGCAGATCCAGGCCTGAAAGGTCCAGCAGGGCTGAGGTGCTCCCTGAGGTGGAAAAGCAGCGTTGGTAAGTCCCGAGCAGAGGACACTGGCTCACTCTTGGAGTCCACAGGGGTTGTGGGACAGCTGCCCCGACCCTTCATAGCCAGCCTCCTGCTACCCTTTCTGTGGTCATGCCAGCCCTTGGCTGGAACATGCTCAGTGGCCCTTTCTTTGGCACAAAGTGGCATTTCTGCTGAGGATGAATTTCCTTCTCCCCTTGGCAAACTGCTACCTACTCGTAAAGCCCTGCTAAAACTTTGCTGCTTCTGTGTACTGTCCCCACCCCCACTTCTCCCCAACAGAACCAATTCTAACCTCTGCTATGATCCCCCAGGGCTATCATTTACCCTTATTAGAGCCCAGTCAGTAGAGTTAATGTGTCTAACCCTCCCTCCCATTTTCTGATAATTAAATCAGCCTTGGGGGTGTCATCCAACCCTACACAAAGGGGGCCAGATTTGTCAAATCAAAGAAAAGCCTTCCTTCTTCCTCTTCAGGCCCTCACCAAATTCTTGGCTCCCTCCCCCTCCATCCCACATCCAGACTTCCTCCCCTACAGCTGCAGGCTTGGCACAGACTTCACCCTCAGCTCCCTCCCTGGGGCCTTCCCCATCTTAAGGGGCCAGGGTTATACTGCAGTTAACCATGCACACTCTCCTGCCACTCCTCACCAGGGATGGAGCCAGCTGCGGCATCACCATTGACCTCCTCGCCCCGCACCAGCTGCTTGTATAGGTTGATCACCTGGGTGAGGTTGTCATTGGCCTGCAGGATCTCCGCTGCAACAGGCAGGAGGGGAGAAGCCAGGATGAAGGAATGGGGAGCCTCTAGGCAATAGGGAGATGAGCACCCCATATCCAGCCAACCTGCGTAAGGGGAGGGTAGGAAAGCAGACCCCAGCCCTCCAATACCTGCCACCCTCCTGGTACACTCTCTGCCATACTGCCCGGGCTGTCTCTGAACACAGCTCCTGCCTCCAGGCTTCTGGGCTGGCTCTGCTGTCAGCTGCCCTGGGACCTCTGTAGGGCTTCATCCTTTATCCCCTTCAGGTCTTCACTCAGTAGTCACCTCAGGCCTCTAACCCCACCCCTGCACCACCTCATCCCCTCCCTGCTTGTTTACTGTCTTCTCTCATTAAGCTACAAACTCTACAAGGAGGCTTGTGTCACATCCCCAAGGGCCTAGGACACCAAGTAAGCCCCTCACCAACTTCGCCTCTTGGGTGCCAGGTCTTAGAGGAATCTGGGCAGAGAGCCTCTTGGGCAGGGACCAGGTACCTGGCACGTGGGAAGTGTGTAGCGAGCTCCTGCTGGACAAGGGAGCAGATGGTCCCAGCCTGCTGCCCAGGTGGAACTCAAAGAACTTGGTGTGTGGCCTCGGCAGAAGCCAAGAGGCTTAGTTCTGAAGTGCCCAGGCTGTGGGACTCACTCAGTTTCCAGCTCACCTTTAGCAGGGGAGAGTGACTGGAGGCAGATGGCCTTCTGTCTACCCTGGCTGTGCCACTGATCTGCTCTGTGATATGGACAAGTCACTTCCTTCCCTAAGCCCCAGATGAGAAATGGGGACAACGGCCCCTCCAGTGAAGCTTGGAGCAGTAAATGAAATGTCTGTGAAGGGGCTTGGCCCATCCCTCATCCCTAAGTCCTCCAGGAGAAACCCAAGGGCAGTGCTGCAGAAGGAGGCCCCCTGGTGGCAGATGCTTCCAACTGCAGATACTGAACAAGGCCTGCGGGAGGTGGGGAAATTAGGTCTGGACCTGACCAGGCATCTGTTCCAGGCTCACCTAAGGCCTCATCATTGTCCTCTGTGTCACTTGCCAATCGGAACAGTGTGGGCCGCATCCGCTCACAGCGCTGGTACAGTTCCTGGGGGCAGCAGGGTGGCAGGTCAGGGCCAGGGCCTCTGCAGTGGGCAGGGAGTATGGAGGAGGCAGGTGTACCTTCATGAGGTCCTCGCTGCTGCCCGAAGCCGCACCCCCCTGGCTGTGGCCCATCACCATCTCCGTCAGCAGTTTCACATTGTTGTTCACCTCCTCAATGGCATTTACCCGCTTTGAGATCTTCTCCATCCGCTTCTGGTCCTGGGGACATACATTGACAAATGGCCCAAGAGCCTGCATCATGATCAGGCTAGAGCCACGCACTGCCCCCACTGCCCTGGGGAGTATATGCCCTGGGGGAAGGACTGGCTAGGTGTGAGATTAGACTCTGGGGTGGGGCGCTTTATGCCTTGCTAAGAGCCCCTCATGCCCAGAACAGGGGACTCTGGTCCAAAAGGCCCTCTGCCAATCCTGTGGCTACTTCCTCTTCTTCTTGCCCCTGAGACCCAGGTCTCTGCACAAGCCCATAAATCTCCAGGGATGGCCTGGGAACCTGGGTTCCAACACTCTCACCAGGTGCTTCTGGCAGACCAGGACCCTAGACCTATTCCTGTGGTCCCTTTTTTTTCTTTTCGTTTTCTTCTTCTTCTTTATTAAAGAGACAGAGTCTCTCCCTCTGTCTGTTGTACTCAGGCTGGAGTACAGTGGCCTGATCATGGCTTAATGTAACCTCAAACTCAACCAATCCTCCAGCCTCAGCATTCCAAAGTGCTAGGACTACAGGTGTGGGCCACTGTGCCCAGCTCCTTGTGTTCATCTCTTGAAAGGAGGTTTTTGTACTTTATAATGAAAGGGGACCTTCAAGGTCACAAGTATAACTTAGAAATGAGGGCAGTGACTCGCCCGGTATCTGTCAGTGCCTGGTAGATGGAGGCACTGTAGGCCTTTAAAGTCTGCTGTAGGAAGTGATCCCACCATCCCACTCCCCCTCCTGTCACTGTGCATACCCCTTTTTTGCAGAATGCAAGGTGGACACGTGCTATGATGCCTGACAGAATCACCCTCCTTGAAACAGGCCACACCTCCCCTCCTTTTGGCTGTCAGAGCATGCAGCTTGGTCCTTCAAGGTAACACTGAACTTCTGCCCTCCAAACCTCTGGCAGGAAGACCACCTTCACGTCTGTGCTGGGCATGCCCACTCCA